CCCGCCAAGCGCAGAGCACGCTCGCGCAGCGTTCAATTGAAAAAATTGTTGTTGTTGTTGTTGGTGGTGGTGCTGCTGCTGCTGCTGCTGCTGCTGCTGCCGCTGCTGCTGCTGCGGCCGGCGCCGCAGCGCGTGGCCGCGTGGCAGCGGGCGTGGCCGTGTGGCCGCGGGCCGCGTGGCCGTGCGCAAACAATATGACGTGCACTCTGTCGGCCGTCATACGACAGACCGAGTTGGCTGCACATCCGTATCTCGATGTGTCTCGTGTGCAGGAACTGCAACCGATCCTGAAGCATTAATGCCCTTCGCTGCATGTTGTGTAGAGTTTCACGTCCCCTGAATGGCAGGCCAATTGGTTCACAACTCCAGACCCTTTTGAAAGAGAAGTCTCCATAATTACCCAACCCGCCCTCGCCTGCACCCTCCATCAGGCTCCGCACAGAAGTAATTGACAAGAGTATGCATCACCAGTGTTTAAGCTTCCAGCCCCAGTTCTCTGCTTGACAGGCCTGACCTGATGTAGAGCTTGAGGCAAGGTTTACTGGAACATTCTGACAGTATAATGGAGGCAAGAAGAGTTCATCAGCTTGGGCCGCGTCCGGGCGTCGCACTGGACGGCAAGCGAACCTGAATGTCTTCAACACAGCCCGAGCTGCCAATCCGGCCATGCAATGGGCAGGCTCGCCTGCCAGATTCCCTCGTAGCCTCTATGCATGATAATATCTCCAGGTCTGGCTGCTGCTGGGACTGTGACCTTGGCTCCCGCAGACCAAATGCCAGCCAAAGGCCTAAAGGAGGCCGAGCATGAGCAGCCTGCTCTTGCATCTGGTTGGCGTGGTACGAAACATTCTGGAGCTCGGTAGGTATCCTTGCCCACCTGCACAGCTATCGAACCGCTGTATCACTCATGCTGCAATAAGCTGCAGCTGTGCGGCAGCAAGGAAGTAGCGGAGCTCTTGCCCGGTGGCCGAATGACCTCGCAGACTGCAGCTTAACACCTCGTGAACATAGAGGCTGAACTTGGCCGCCAGCTTTGAACCGCATTTCCAAAATCCATGAGCCTCTCAGTCATTTGGCTGATGGCAAAAACACAGTGCTCAGGCGTCGAAGGAGTTTGGTCGCCCCTGCTCTTAGATCTACTGTCTGTGCTAAATCAAAAGCCTGGTCAGCCTAATCCAAAACAAGGTCAACCGGGAACCCAACAACGAAAGCAAATCGCCCGAAAAGTGGCAGTGGCACTGGCATGTTTTCCCAATTGTATAGCCGCACTCCGTATCGCGACCTGCCAGGTGAAACCCCGTCCGCACGCTCCGCACGCTCCGCACGCTCCGCACGCTCCGCACGCTCCGCACGCTCCGCACGTAGGTTTTGGAGATAAAGAGAGCATGCTTAAACCTGGAAGGAGGCATGAGCGTGTATAGATATCCCGTGATGCAATCGAAGGAGTGCTTTGGGACTCGTATGCGAAAGAGAGAAATTTGAGATGAGTGATTAGTGGAATCGAAGGCCTGCGCCCAACTAAGAAAAGGGTGTAAAAAACGCGATATCGGGTCTTCCTGTGCTTCAAGGAAGCATCTGAGGACGGAGCGAGGGAGCTGGTCGATCGGCCAGCCCAAAGAACCAAACTGGAAATGAGTGATGCGTGCGCCGATGGCCTTTCGGAAGCGTGCGTGTTGACGGAAGGTATGGGACGGTAGCTAGATGGAGCTTGGGTTTTTTCCCTTATATACAAAGCATGATTAATATGGCCGGGCGACAATTGGAGGGGGAGGCGGCCGCCGGGAAAATGTGATCATAATGGAAAGAAAAGAGAAAGGCAAAAAGATTTTGCTTCAAGCTTCCAGAGTTTTGACTGTTGGAGATAACACAGAGTTCTGTTTGAACTTGGCTAAGCTCGGCTCAAGCCTTTCTTTTGCAACTGGGTTTTTTTTCAAGTTGTCGCCATGGCACCGAATGCCATCGGCGTGGTTGCTGGCTTTCTCCTCGTCTTCGCGACGGTTGTGGACAACTGGCTTCCCAGTTGGTTGGACCAACCCAAGCACCACCGGTGCACACTCCTTCGACCGCGGCAGATGTACCTCTCGAGGGTGCTCCACCCGGGGACAAAGAGTCAGCACCACCTCATCGATGTTTTTCATTTCTTCCGGTTGACTGTCGGATGTGTTCTCGACACCCACAACCTCGGGTGCGCTCCGCACTGAAGGGGGCTCTCCCTCCCTCTCTCCGTCCAAAGAAAGACCTCCTCCGCTCTCCCCAATAAACCCTGCATTGAAACCTGGACCCCAAGGGAAACTTTAAACAAGCAAGGCGCGGATAAACCCCGTGCGTCAACTAGATCGCGTGTTCAAGCAAGAATCAGGGTCCTTGGTCGAATGCTAGGTTGAGAATCTTCCATGTGAGAGTCGGATGTACAAAGATGTTGTACCGAGCTTCATTGGGAAAAGGTTTCGGTCGGAGAATCGGAAGGGCAAAGCGGGAGTTTCAGTTCTGCACGAAACTTACCACCCCTCTGCTACAGCAATGTCATTGTGAAAAGTCTGCGAATGGGCAAACAAGTCCAAGGCCTGATGCTGTCGCCTTGCAGCAAGACATTCTCCTCAGAGCACACACACACACACACACCATGTTGCTTGCACGGAGTCTCCGCACGGGGAGCGCACCAAGGAAATATCGCGGTGGCCTGGTGCGGACTCGGGTACACAAGAGGACCTAATGATGCAACCATGCAAGCCTATGCCGTGGGCATGCAGGTACTTCACCTGCAAAGCAAGGGGCAAAGCAACGCGCCACTAGACACCAAGTGCTTGGGAAGCCGACGGCTTGCAGCATCTGCCACGTGTATTGCCTGTTTGCTGTTGGAGGCATGCATGCTGCGCTGCAAGTGTTGCAACACCTCCGCTGAGGTTCGTCAACACGTCCATTGAGAACCGCGTCCTGAAGCTTAACAGTTTCGGATAGTGTGCGGTGCAGTCACACGATCCGAGCTTGCAGCAAGCAGTTCGCCACCCTCTGCCAGCTCCGTCACGAGCCATCTGCCAAGTGCAGACATTTGCATGCCGGTCAATAGCTCAGTGCCCGCGAGCTTCGAGCATATTGGAATTGTGTGTAAACGCTGCCATCGACTTCAGCCTGGATTCCAGGTTCCAGCGTGTACAGACGACTTCGTACCACGGACTTCAGAGACGGGTCTTCCTAGGCCCAGGCAGATAAGCAGGAAGATCCGATTGCTTTGACCTGATGGCGGTCGGTGGAAGGTTTCGTCTACACCTATCCATGCGAAAAGCTGCGAAGGGTCTCTGGCTCTCGCCCTCGACTTCGCAGCTGGCTGTGTCTATTCATCTCCGGCTCAAACTATGTGCATTGCCATTGACGTGTATACACTTCGCGAATCTCAGAAATGTGCAAGTACTGGAGAATCCCAATCTCTGCAAATGCGTCCTGAACAGCACAGAAAGGCTTATTTCCACGAGATCGCCACCTCTGAACTCCAGTCTCCAGTCCTCTGGGTTGGGTACATTTCGGCCGGACAGGTGAGCAGTCCACTCATTCTCCTGACGGCCGCACAATGATCCGGCAGCTGCAGATCAGGACAGGACAGTCACGATGTATGTGTCCTCGCCAAGCGCTTGCCGTGCCTGATCCAGGTGACCAGCGCGCAGAGAGCAGGGCATTCACGTTGTACCACTATGTTTGCAACCTTGTCAATGCTTCTGCACTTGACGGCAACATCCTGAAAGTCGCGTCCATTTTTCCACTTGTACTGCGCCACCTGCAATTGATGTGCTTGCGTAGGTGGACACTGCTTCAAGGCTAAAAGAACAATGGTGGCCTCACCATATATGGCATCTCCAAGCTTTTTGACCCAAAGGAAATCGCCCACCTGCTAATCACAGCAAGGACCAGGGAGACCGTCTTTGGAGCAGTTTGAGGCGCTGGCAAGACCCTCATCCAGCTCAAGATTCTTCCTGAAGTGTGCCCTGTTGGTATTGCGAGGATCGCTCAGGCAGCGAACCAGCCTCAAGAGTGGATACAAAGCCCAACAAGTCTTCACCTTTCAGTGCTGCACAGTCTGGACGAAGCCAAGATTTGAACTGGATTCCGGCGTAGGAATGACCTGTAAAGCTTGCGACAAGCTACTGAGCTTAGCAGAAGATGCAGACTCTACTCAGGCTACTGGCCCATCTCGGACACATCGATTTGCTGCGACAGCTCTTTGCCTGCACATCGATGCATGACCATGGGCTTTGCTGCGTCCGCGCTACACAAAGCAACGATCCTTCGTGGAAGAGTCTCTGCTGCTCCGGTGGAACTCCTGTCGTCTGACACACCTGACCAAGTCACTATTGAGACGGAACGGCAGGCCCATTTCATCGCCTGCGCCCGTATTTCGGCAATTCTTGTGCTGGGCGTTGCATGCACCTGCACGGTACGTAAGCATGAACACGATTGAATGCAGATCGAACTGCTATGACACATATTCAACTTCCGACATCCGCCGACCCCAAGCACCTCGCAAGCCATTCCTCCCGTAAGCATCCAACGAACTTCCACGTGGAGTGCCTCAATCAAGAAAAAATCGTTGCACGCATCCTAAAAACCTGCAAAAAACTGGCACATACCCAATCAGCATATTGTTGTGTCAACAAGCCTGAGGTTTTCCACTTTCATGAACCGCACCACCTGCCCGATTAGACTCCGAAGGGAACGGCACTGCAGCGAAATCGCTTTTGCATCTGTGCCGCTCCTGCCTCTGAAATTGTCCACCTCTGCCATGGCGTTCTGCAATTGCCGGCTCGAAGCGGGCGATGTTCTAAGTCTGACAGTGTGCGGCTCGCTGCCAAACTACTCACTCCATGTCCGAAGCGTCTTGTACGGAACAAACTGGTGTCGCAATTGAACGACGCTGCTGGTTACCTGTTTCGACATCCCCTCTAAGACTCTATGACTCGAAGAGCCGACAACCATGACGAATAGTCAAACAACGTGATGCTGACATTGGCATGTTGGTAACACCTTCGTGAACGCACAGCGTTTTTTGTGCCGACCGCGCTCAACATCCAACAAATGTAGGTGAGGCAAACAAATCGATTTGGGTGCTTGAAAATGCTAAACACCGCACCTATTCACATTGCTGTTTTGCAATGTTGGTGTTTGCGAAACACTTGCAAACTAAGCACATAACCAATGGACTCAACATGACCAAAATGATTTTCCTGTTTTGCACAACACCCAATGCAAGCAAAAGCCTGCTCGAATTGGCTTGCAAAGCATTAACAGAAATTCAGAGCTCCGGATCAAATCATACTTGACGGAGGTCTGTTGCATATTCGTGCGAGCTATGCCACACTCAGTCCAAGAGCCTGCACCCAACGAAAGGCAAAGTCAGCCGGGCAATTTTGCTACTGCCCCACCGTCCCCACCTGCTGGCCCAACACTCCGGCAACACCCAGGAAGTAGCCCACAAGTGCTGCAGGAGCCACGCTTTTGGCGTACCTCACCGCGGATATCAAAGCCACAGAATAAGTGAGCTCAGCTGTGGCACCATCCAAAGGAAACATTCCTCTCCATGCCCATGAAGGCAACACCTGCGATGCTGCAGAGGCCAGATGTCACAGTGCACAGTGAACACCCCGACTTCTTCCCTGCCTGCGGCAGAGCCAATAACTAACAGCGAACCCCCAGTGGCTGCACAGTACCTGCTGAAAAGTGGCAAAATGTCAGGGTACACAGCTTCAGAGAAAGCGCAACAAAAGTATCCCAATGGACCGGTTAAACCGCTCGAAGCATGCGCCATGGCTCCAAATCCCAGATCGCCCAGGCGCACGTGATCAGGTTCCACAGGCTGTCATTTGCAGGGTGCACCGAAATGTCGTACATGCCCTGGCAGGACACGCTGAAAATCAGGAGGTCTAACGGCGAACTGCAGGTCGGATGCCTGCGCAGCTGCAACCAGCGGCACATTGTCCACCACAGCAGAAGCAAAACCCAGGAAAATGGCGACCTCAAGAAGACAGAAGCAAGCACGACGGAGACAAACGGACAGCACGACACGTTCCATAGTTCGGTCATGTCGCCTCGCCTACAGCATGCAACTTGACACGGCATTCAACTGCAGTTCCAGGCACGGCAGCCTCTCATGTCTGCTGAGACAGAAAGAACCAGATGCCAAGAGGCATCTTCAAGACATCTGGCAACATCGTGCAACTCAAGTCACCCTTCTCCCACGTGTCGGGTGCATCCCTCCCACCTCTTCGTCCTTCGGACCAGTACGACTTTTTCACGGTTGGAAGCTTGCCAGCATGATGTAGGGCGTGTCAGCACTCCATAAAGAGGGGAGACCCGCTGCGACAGAGAAGCAGAACCGCAGCAACGGCGAGGCGCACTGTGGCTCCAAGCCTGAGGATCCTCAGGTCTCGGCCAAGGCGTCAGAGGGCACCAGGTTACTCAGCTGGATGGCAAACTCCTGACGTCGGGAATAGCGACTCAAGCGCGCCGACTACACTAGTACCTTCAGCGCCTATTGCGCCGCTCCCAAGATGTTGCAGTGACCCTTGGCTTCTCCTTCAGGAGCCCGACTCGTTCAAGGCCACCAACGGCGAAGAGAACACCCAAAAAGAACAAAGCATCAGGCACCTCGCCACACAGCTGCCGTGATTGGTTAAAGATCCAAGGCGGCACACTTGCCAAGGGTGCTAAGACGGTTTAGCACCATAGCGACTAGGAGGAATGCACAGCTGTGGCTCTTGCACAAGAGTACAAGTGCGTTACTCAGAATGCGGCATGCAGGCTAAGACACTACGGTTTCGGGCATGGAAGCAGATCCGGACTGGGGTGAAACCTCGAACGGATTCCCAGCGGTCATAAGACAAGAAGCAACCTTTGCATTACTACATGGAGGTTAGACGAGATCTGAGCTCCCCCAAAGTGAGCCCACTAAACTTACTAAACCGAAGCAAAGCAATTCCGAAACAAACGACGGACGCATAACAGGAAGCCAGGAGACATTCAGAATTATGCAGACGACCCGACGTCGCTGCTCAGCCGACTGGAAATCAGAGCTTCCATAAGCTTTGGTACATTCATGCGTGTGATTGTGGCAGCACCTCAACACGAGTGAGAGCACCCTTCAGTGAGTAGCGGTTGTCGTCCGGCTCGTGCAACCTCTGCCATGCGAGGAGCGGCAGAAAAGCTCGAACACAGAGGTTTGTATGCACATGGACATACATGAACCATGTCCCTGAGCTTGTCACAGGGATGTGATCAAGCCCAGGAGGCCCAAGACGAGCATCATCCTCGGAGAACTCAGGAGCTGAGTTCCTCCCGCAATCGAGCAAGCTGAGGCTTTGGGCCCACTCCAAGCTGGGCATTGGGTGATGGCCTGTGAACACAGGAACAACGGGCACGTTTACGGCAAGAAGCTCGCTGCATACAAGCTAGACGTCTTTGGGCCACCGACGGTGAATGCCGGAACTGTGATCATGCCGATCAGACCCCCCCAGAACACCACTGCCTGCTGAACTCTGAGATGGATGGGTCAGCCCTGGGCGCTGCACAACCTGCCTGACCGTTCGGTATCTCGTCATCCTGCACAGGAACCGGAGCGCGATGCTACCCCTGGCATGGAGCTCACTCCCACCCCAGGACTGGATGGTGTTCGCTCGAAGGGCTTGTCGTCCATTCGGGTTAGCTCAAAGCCTCAGAGCTGGTCTGAGCAATGAACGGTGGGCTGTAAGCAAGTATAGGCCGGCGCACCCACTGTGCCAATCAAGCAAAGAACGCTTGGGATGAACAGATTTGCCAGCAGCGGTACGGTAGTCACCTTGGCGTAGACATGCAATCCAATGCCAAAGCCTTCAAAGAAGATGGCCGAAGAGGAAGAAAGCAGCAACGACTGAACGATCAAAACTCACATAAAAGAGACATCTTCCATCTGCTCCCATGCGACAGGCCTGGCCGCCAATGTAGAGCATAGTAGTTGTGATGTCACCAATGGGCGTCCTCAAAACAACCATTCCGGCTTGTTCATGGCGTGAAGCAGCATGATGTGCAAGGGGCTACACCCAACAGTCCAGGCTCCACCAGCATTGGATGCCACCACAACGACTCCACCAAGCCTCATCCGAAAATCTTCATCCTGGCCATATGCACAGCGCCAGATGCTCGATCAGGTTGCGGCTCCCAGCCTTCACCAGCTTTTGCAGAAGAGACACCTGCCGACTGAATCCGATCACAACACTGATTTCGAACTCAACAAGCTCAGGCACACCATGACAATGACCACAGTGAGGTTGTTGAGCACTGACGACAGCACGAAGGTCAGAACTGACACGATGACCTTCGTTGAACTTCGGTTGCTGCGATGCAAGCTCACAGCTCACGGGCTACCGACCAGCAGCTCGCGCTGAGTCTTTGCTTGGATGAGCTTTGTGATAATGTCGAACCCTGGCACAGACTTACGTTCTGCGTGCGACAAGAAATGCATCGCGTCACTGTCACCTCCAGCGCCGCGAGGCGAAAAGGCAAAGTTTGCTGTTCCGCAGAAAGATATTGCAAGACCACTGCCTTTATGTGCATCCATGATCTCCACAATGGTCAAAGCACCCAGAAGAAAGAAGACAACCTGCCAAGGAACACGCGACCTGAAACACAAGTAGAACCTGCCGGCTGCCTCTGAGACATCTTCCAACGTCTCCCTGGAAACGGATGTCGTGATGTTGCATTTCGTTGGGACTTTGAGGGCCACAGGGGGCTTCCATGGCAAATGCAAGTGCAATAGGCCCGTTTGCACGCCACACCGGCGCATTGCAAAAGTCCTCTCACTTGTCTAGTCGACTTTGACAGAACTTGAAGCCACCCCTCCGAATTGTCGTGCATCCTTTTCCAGCTTGGTCTGGTTATTGCAGAAGGCAACACATAAACGTCTACGCAAGGACAAGAAATAAGGATGGCATTGGACGCATGAGGCCCAGACTTGATGGCGACGTCGAAAGCAGACGCTGTCATGTCCACCCCTGTGCCCACCAAGGCCCACACCTCAAAGGAAGCAACCCAGTGCATCGCAGTTGCTCATTCATGCAAATGAGGTAGTTTCCGGGGGGTAGTTCTCTGGATGGGCAGTCTGCCCAAGCCTTTTGCTTCTGAAATACGGGAAAAGGTTCGGCCGAACCTGGCAAAACAAACACTGACATATTGTAAGGAGTACGTTTCAGCCCTTCAGTGGCTATATAGACCTCAAATGCAAGACATTTACACCAAAAGGTCATGCTCCGAAGGGTACAGAGAAACATCAGAGCCTCGGGAAAAGTGACACAAGCCTTGCAACTCTACCTGGGTCTGCCAACAACTTCCCCAACCTGCCCAAAATTCCCCCGAAACTGCCCCAAACTGTACAAAACTGCCAGAAGCCCCGTCAGAAGCTATAACTCTGGTAGATTTGTCAAGGTTACAGAAGTTTGTCGAGGATTCGGCATGTTTGGGAAATGTCGGGCAGTAGCCTCAAAACTCTACCTCGGAGAAGAGCTGTGGGTCAGAACACTGAGAGCAACACCAGTACACCTAAGATGAGCGCAGTGGCTGCCTGTGTGGCAATTGTGCAAAAGCACGACACAGAGCTTGGAGATCCACGACCATTCAGATCGGCGAAGCAGGTGAGGACTACAGCGACTATCATCAACGCACGCGCCGGTGCATGTCTTTTTCCTGCAGTACGGCATGCTATGCGACATTGCCAACCAGAAGCGAAAATCCAGCGCTAAAGGCAGGAGCAAAAAAACAAATGCGGCAAGCGCGCTGCTTGCTGTTTTGATCATGACGGCCGAGCTATCCCAGGTCTGCTTCAGCTTATTCGCAGCAGCAGACTTCACCCAGCGCTGGAAAAGCCTGAGGCATCAAGGATTGAAAGGACTCTGGTTATGATTCTGCAGCACTGTTCGTGCACATAGGCCTTTATTCCCTTCACCCAAGAGGTAGAGGTGACGCCATCAGGATAGTAAATGCATGTGACACCTGAACAGCAGAATGAGTGCTGTAGCCAACAACCATGCCACTGCAAGACTGGTCCAACCGAGCACAGAGCCCAATCGACTTACTTCATCGCAATTGTACTTCTCGTTGTCGAAGAAGATCATCTCGTCGAAGTCACAACCGACCATTCCGCAAATCTCTCGAAAATGAGTTTGCTTCGAGCCCTTGTGAATCTGGCGCACTTCGATGATGCTTGCAAGTCTTTTTCGGTCTGGCCCGAATTCAAACTTTCCAAGGAGTTCGTGTGCCCAAGGTGGCACATCACAACAGCTCGCAACAGCAACAACCACCCCACGCCACTTTGGATCCGTCGCTAGTTCAGTCAGTGCGGCATCCACCCCACTGTGCAAACGAATTGCATTCCCTCGACGGTCACGTATCTTTCCTAAATCGTCACGGCTGAATGGAGCACCACCGCCTTGCCATGACAGCTCATACATTTCCGGATACCACAAACAGCCATCCAGGTCGAAGACCACGCATCTCGGCAGATGCTCCTCCTTTGCGTCGGCACGAATTTTTGTCTTTCGCATGCTTGGCGTTGCCCTCGCACGCCTCGCACGCGTCGCTCGCGCAGAATGCACTCCGAGCGCAAGGATCCCAGGCAAACAGCCAAGGGAGTCGACGGAGGTTGCTCTGGCTGGAGCGGGACCTCTCAAGGAGCTGTACGTGCACCCTGGGCTCTGAAACAAAGCTGTCGCATGAAAAGCGTTGTCTTTGCCATGAAATTGCGACGGTGGCAGCCGGCGTGCCATCTGCATCTGTCGCTGCTAGTTGAGACAGGACCAAGCATAGGCTGAGTGCGAAAGCCAAGCGGAAAGGACAGCAGCCGGTTCCAGATGCTCAAGTCCCGACTTCTCCCGACGTGCTCGATATGAACTACTGTCAGCATTTCCCATAGATCCAAAAGGACCTGGTCTCAATGGATAGAACCGGATAGAACTCTAAAGGAACGGGACACTGCAAATGCACATGCCTTGTTGATCTCAGTCTGTTCCTGCAGTGTGACTCACTGCACCATGGCAGCATTGAACACTGGCAAGAGAGCCGGCCTCCAGCACGATGACAGTGTAGCCTGCCTGAAGCTATTGGGGGCATCCACATCTCGCGGGGCGTACGCGGCTGGGGCAGAGTCTCAGTGACGGACCACGAAGGTGGCCACAATGGGAAAGTATTCATACTGCGCTCCCGTGAGGAAAGGCACCTTTGTAAGGAGAGAAGAAGAGACATGTTGCGGGAGGGCAAGGAGCGCACCGTCACGATGGAGTGCTGGATGGAATACATTAGGGCCAGCCAGCCTGTCAGGCCAGCCAGCACAGGCCTCGGCAGATCTCGGCGAGCATTGTCATGAAATCAAACTGCCCAGCATCTCGGCACTCTTAGCTTGCCGGCACGACCACACCTGTAACTTCACCGCGCACATCCTTCAAGCCACATGATTCCCTGGTCTTGCAGCATGCTACATGCCGGTGGTTCACGCTGATGCAGATCGCATGTCCTCCGTCGTTCTAGTACTTCTTCGAAGTACACGGAATGCGCGGCCACCAAGTCCTGCATCAGCTCAGACTGATGCCACCGATGTTGCTGCACCTGCTACACCGCAGGTCCTCGTAATTTTGCAGTAGCCAAGGAAATCAAAGGAATCCTGGCAGTGGACAAACAGAGACCCTCTCTCAGAACTTTCTATACATCTATATACACCTGGCTTCATTGGCAAAGCCGCAGCTGCGCCATTTCTTGCACGCATCGGAAGTCATACGAGAAACAGGCTTTGCAGATCTTGTAACTTCCACGGATGTCTCACGGCCGAGTTGTCGTCCTCATTTCGGACATCGGGTGTGCACAACGACAAGTCGGCAGTGAACCGTCAGCTTCGCACTCCTATGTTTGGAAAGGACGGAACTTCCCCACCTGCAGGAGTCCGTATGTTTCGCTTTCGTTGGCCCGCTTGTCTCCGTTGATGCTCCAGTAGGCGAAGTCCAGCTGTTGCTCCTTGCGGGAGAACTATGCATGCATATCTGCCTATTTGTTTATTTATGTTTTTATGTATGTATATATTTGTTTGTGCTTCATATGTGCATTTACATGTACGTTCATACTGATGTGTTTGTTCATGTTTATTTGTCTGAGCATTAACATATTTATGTGTGTATCTATAAAGTTGTACGTACTTCAATATGGATCTATACACATATATGGTATGTATACACATACATACATACATACATACATATATACATATATACATACGAACATATATACATATATACATATATACATATATACATATATGAGAGAGGCGCCTC